TCAGGCCTCCGTGAAGAACTTCCAGATCATCCACGGCAATGACCGTGAGTGTTTCTGCCCTGACTTATTACTGTCCACATGATACCCGGGGCCCTTAGCTCAGGGTTCAGCTCACCTAGCCCTGCCTGTAGAGGTCAGAGTTTAAGGACATGGATTATACGGCTTAGATTAGATGTAAAGAACTTTCTAACCATAATGACTGGGAGGCCCTGGAGGAACCTTCTCTGGAGCCCTGACCCTAGATTCTGTGCACTCAGCAGAGTCTCAGGCGTGGGAACACCCTGTGAATGGACTTCCTCTCTTCTTCCCTGTCTCCTGGTGTTTGTATGCATCTTTCTCCTCTGCCACCTGTTCCCTCTCTCCTGCCACTTCTCCCAATTAATTGGTCTGTGTTTTACCTCCTTTGGGATTCTCTTGGCTTCTCTGCTTCTCGCTCTCTCTTCCCTCTTGTGATCTGGGTGTCTGTGCTTCCCCATCTCCGCCATCCCTGCTCTGCCCACACTCGTGCCTGGCTCCAGCGGACTACATCGTAATGCAGTTTGGCCGTGTAGCGGAGGACGTGTTCACCATGGATTACAACTACCCACTGTGTGCACTGCAGGCCTTCGCCATTGCCCTGTCCAGCTTCGACAGCAAGCTGGCCTGCGAGTAGAGGCCACCTCGAGCCCTCTGGGGTTGCCCAGCCTGGAGTGGAGCTGCCTGCCTGCGGAGACAGCCCTGCTGACCCCCTGTACATAGGCCTCGTGCCAGGTGACCCTTTGGCTCTCAGTGGGCTCCGGGGCCCAGCCATCCAGGAACTGGCTCCTGCGCCTCCACTGCTGAGGCAGAGGGGTGGGGGATCTGAAGGGACCAGCGTGAATTCTTCCTGTGCCCCAAGATCAATGCCCACCCCCCCTTGGGTTAGTATTCTGCTGCAGTTACGTTTGCCAAGCTGAGCAGCCTCTTCAGCCGGGGGGGCAGGAAGAGGTGTAGAGGGAGAGGAAGCACAGTGCAGGGCTGCTGGGGCCCGGCCACGCACTCAGCCCAACTGTGAGGGGCACAGTGAGTGTGTGTGTGGTAGTGTAAGTGTTAGGGCACACCTACTTTACAGAGCAGAGGGCTGGGGAGCCGAGCCTGGCCCTTACAACTACACAAAGTCCTCCAGCTTCAGAAGGCCTCAGCTGGGCCTGGGAAGAGTTACGGGCATGGGGAAAGGTGAGTGGCGGGACCTTGCCAGGGTTGCAGGGGCCTGGCTGTGGCTGTGGGAATTGGCTGGTGGCCTAGGGTTTGAGCTCATTTGATTTCTCTGTGTGCACAGAGGCAGCAGGCGGCCAGCCCCCAAGGTCAGATCTCTTAATAGAGGATGGGGCCTGCAGGACGCAGGCTCAGCATACAGGCGGCGCGTGGGACAGGGCTGTTCCCCAGGAGCTCCCTGCTGAGCAGTCCCTGCACAAACCCCACGAACCCCAGCCCCAGACTGCACACAGGTAGGCGTGCCTGGAGCTCCTGCCTGTGCTTCAGCTCCCACTGCAGTCAGCCTGGGCTGTGGTTGCTGAGGGATTGATTGTATGTGATTCTTCTTAGCTGGGAATGGGACAGGGTAAGGAGAGCAGGAAATGTTTCAGAACCACAAAAGATCAGAGGTGGCAGGACCCTGAGAGATCATCTAGAAAGTAGGACTTGCCCTGGGTCACCTGGCTGGTTAGGGGCAGAGTTCGGAGCTTCAGCTCCCTTGATTTCCTTGTTTCCACCATCCCCGAAGAAACTGCTCTCTCTGACCTTCCTAGGGCACAGTCCGCATGCCCGTGCACCTGATTCCAGAGACTTAGAGATGTTCAGTGGGAAACTGGGCAGTTCCCTGCCGAAAGCTGTCTGGATTTTTGCATGTCCGTCTGATAGTGACTGGCCTGGGCCTGGCTCCTCCCCGAGGGCAGGCCTTGGCAAGGCTGCTGCCTCTTTTGCTATCTAGGTGTGACAGGTGGGTTGTGAGTGTTCAGGGCTGCGCCTGATCTCTCCCTCTGCCGCCCTCCTCCTTGGATGGCACCATCTACTCTGAAGACTTGGGAAGTCTTGCATATTTGTCATTTACCCTGACAGAGGCTACTCGCCCAGATGGAGATCGGAAATCAGTGGGAAGCAAGCAAGAGTTGTTCCCCACTTCAGAATAGATGTGCTTGGAAAGACTACATAGAAGTTGGTTTTTTAAAAAGTAAGCATGTTAGCAAGGCTCTGAGGTGAAGTTCTGACTTCAGTGGGAGTGGTATGCTCTCATTTCCTGGTAATCTGGGTTTTCCTATGTTGAGTGCTTAAAGCAAGGCATTCTTGTTCTAGCAGGGATCTGCCCACACCTGGGGCGTATGTCTCTGTGAGAGGCCCCTCCAATGATCCAGGTTTTGTTAACATGGTCTAGTTTCTGGACAGCTCTTGACTTGGGGCCATCTTTAGGGCACTAGAACGTTCTGTACCGGAGCTGGTCCACTTGCCAATGAAATACTGTCGCGCCGTCCTCCTGTCCATAGTCCCAGTTTGGCTCTTCCTTTCCTGACTTTGAAAAGAGAGACCTGCTGACATTTAGAATGATGGAAAGTAGATGATCTCTAAAGTCGAGTCAAGCTGTTTCTCTGGGTGAGTGATTTTAAGGTAGAACAGGTTGGTTCTGGATCCTCATGAGCGAGGGGATCCTGGGGCAGAGTGGAAAATACATCAGAAGCACAATGGAAAACTAGTCCCCTGCTTTTTCCTCTAGTGCACAGGGGAGGGGGTTGAAAGGTGTTTTTTTCCGTAGGGTCAGGAATGTGGCCTGAGAGTCCCAGCCTGGGCATGGACAAGGGTAGCTCAGCAACAAAACCCTCTGTTGGGCATTGAGCGACCAGCAAGAGCACTCGAGTCACCTGCTTAAGACCCCAGCCTCGCAAGGAGGTCTGTTCCGAAGACCCCATTCCTGGTGATGCTGGTTTTCCTTGACCACTGGCCTCATAGCCACGGGCCCAAAGACTCATAAAGCTGCCAGGGCCCCTGGAGGCCACCTGGGCTCAGCCTCTCCCACAGGAAGAGTTCTTGCCCTTCATACCCTCTAACCAGGTGGTCCTTGGTTGGGCAGGGAACTTGGTGATGGAATGAGCAGTCCCTAAGGGTGTTGGGTAGCTGGGACCTTAGGCAGCTCCTCTGTAACTGCTCCTAGCTCTAAATCCCTCCTCCTGGGGCCACACCCCCAAACTCTATGCCCTCTGCCCCCAAACAGTTCTACAGAGCAGTGAAGTTCACTTCCTTAACTCTTCCCCAATTCTGGCTTTTCTTTCCTTCTGGCTCCAAGGTGCTCTGTGTCTGTCTGTGTGTCTCTGTGTGTATTTGGGGCAAAGGGCAATCTGTGAACAATCAATTGAGGTTTCCTATTACAGTCATATTTCTACAGATGAATAGGAAAGGAATAAGGATGTAGTTATGATCACCGGTGGATTTTGTTCATTTCGTGCTCTTTGATCGGAAAGTATACTTGGGAAAGTACCAACTCTTTCTCCCAAGGTTCTGATTGGGAAGACACCATCCCAAAAGTTTAGTTCTTCAGTTCCCACTTTGCATTACCTGAAGAAATTGGTGTGTTGCATGTGTGCTTTTGGATGAATTTGAACTTATTCTAGTTGAATGTGCCTTAAAAATCATGACACTAATTCAGAACGAGCATGTAAGGGTCCAGACCCATGCTGAGGACAGGTGTTAAAAGCCAGGGAGTGTGATAATCACAGGCTAGAAGACAACATTTGGGGCCCACCTCCTTCACTGACAAGGGCAACAAAATTGTAGATGCAGACATCGTTCTTTGCTCTGGAAATGGTGGGGCATTTACTTCTAAATGAATTTACCATATATTCAGAGGCAGTTCTGAATTTAGCAAGCCACAGTGATGACTTCAAACTAAGATGCTTGTGCTTTCCTTACAGTGAGGGGAGAGGCTGGGCTGGCTCTGTCCACGGCTTTGCTATGCAAGCACAAATTCCATCTCCTAGATGGAGTCCCTGGCTTTCCCTTCCTGCGGGAACACCAGCCTGCCCCTCTCTACAATTCTTCACCCCAGCTGAGATTCCCCTGTGACCTCAGGCTGCCAGGTGGCCCTCAGGGCACATTTTTCCAGATAGCTGAATGAGTTTGCTTTCTTCTGGTGCCCAGCACTGAGTGGGGCCTGACTCCCCTGCACTCAGGGCCCAGCGTTGGGACCCTACACTGGCCCTGGGCCCTGGCTTGTAGAACTTTAGCAGCCCCAGGAACAGGCCAAAGGATGGGCTCTTGTTTGAGTTTGGTGGTCACCTGTCCTTCCATACCTCCTGTTTGTAATTTTCTGTCATCTCAGGATATGGGGGGAAAGGTACAGCAGAAGTATTTGGGACGGGTTTGGTTTTTGAATTTTCCAACCAAGTTGAGAGGCAAGTTGGTCTTTTGAGAGGCAAGTTGGTCTTACAGAAAGCACTACTGCACTTAGTAACCATGTGGTTTTGAGCAAACCACGTGATTTCTCTAGGTCTCTTTTCTCACCTACGAAATAAGGAGGTTGGACTGTCAACAGCTTGCAGTAGGATTCAGGGTGAATGAAAGTTGATCCTTGCTCTCATCACTTTCTAGCTCATCACCGTGCCTTTTTTCTTTCCTAAGAAAGATGTCGCACCCCTTTCCTCTTCTCTTCTGTTGTCCCTCTCTCCTTCCCTATCAAGGTCCAGGCAGAGCTGGAGATGAGGCCAAGATCCAGAACTTCCTAGAGAGTAACAGAGTGGCTTAGAAAGGGAAGCCCGACTCTGGCCTCTTTAATCCTGCATTTGGTGACTAAGGGTGGTGACACTTCCCTTGTTGGGAGCATACATTTAGCCAGTTTTCATAATGCCTAGAATGTGTATGTCTATTTGCACAAGATTGTCTTTTCCTATTTTGGAGTGGTCAGACATTTTATTTTTGTTCAAAATCATCAAGTTTTAGACAAACTTGCAAAACTGTGCTTTTATTAAGTGACTTTTTGAATAAACTCTTTGGTATTCTGGAGCAAATGTATTTATTTATTGGTATGTGCAATGACAAAGTTGGTATTTTCCCATGTTGACATTATGTATGTTGTAGAACTTAGTGTTTGTCTAAGTACAGACCACAAACCATGTATCAACAAATTAAACTTGACCTGTTTCAACACTGCTGTGCACTTTTTTCCCCCTATAAAAGAAAAAGACATGTTTCTTACCTAAAAGTTTTTTCCTACATCACTCATTCCTTCTGTCCTAAGAGCCTCAGGGGTGGGCAGGAGGTGGTGGTAACAAGGGATCATAGCTTGTATAGAAACCATCACATATGGGTGGAAACTGTCTTCCCTCTGGCCGTGCTCGTCAAGTTTAAGGATGGTCAGAACCACACACGCAGAGGCTGGATGGGCTAGAAGAAGGGTAAGGACAGAAGGTACTTAAGTTAGAGCATCCTCTGCAGGGTCCGCTGTGCCAGCTGGAAGAATGGGCTGCTGCTTCCTAAGTAAACCCCTGTGGGCCTGCCCCGTACGAACAAAAACAGGGCCGTAGAGCTGAAAAAAGGTGAGAAAGGCCCAAGTGGTAGAAATAACATGAAGACCCAGCCACTGGGTTCCTCTAGCCCTATGCAGAGCAGCCTAACCTGTTTAAACAGGACTTGGACACACTACACACTTGGGAATTTTCTTTTCGGCCTGTGGCAGATCTGAAGCCAACAGCAAGGGAGGCTGCAGTTGTGGCTGGAAGCAGACAGGAAGGCTATGGGTCTGATCCTGAGGGAGGAGGTCAAAACTGAAGTCACCCAGAGATTGCAGGACCTGTGCTCTGGGCCATTCCCAGCAGTCAGGGTAGCCTTGGAGGGTGTCAAGGGCGACAGCCCAGCAGCACAGGACTTGATGACAGAGTGTGATGCTGTTGATGGCACTGGCGTGAGCACCTAGCACAGGCTACACCCTGGACAGACACTACACACAGCATTGCGAGGGGGGTATTATTCCCAACGCATAAGTGAGGAAACTGGTGCTTAGAGAAGTTAAGGGGTAATCAAGAAAAAGGAGAAATTTGGCCTATTTACTTTGTATAAGAAAATGGGAAAGGAAAAACAAGGTTAGGTACATTTTAGAAACACTTGTGTGAAAATGGTCAAGGCAAAGTCTGTGATACTTCACGTTTTTCTCATTGCTGGGTAGCTGAAGTATTAGATTTTCCTTTGGTACATAAATAGTCTGGGTTGAGGGAATCTTAAGAGTGTGGTAATAAGTAGGGTTGGTTTATTTATTACCCCAGATTTGGAGTTTTTAGTGTGGTCAACAGCATTTCCTACCTGAACTGTGGCCTCTCTCCTTGGCTCTGCCTCTGGGAAATAACATTTTTGCAGAGCACTACTAAAAAGGAAAGAGATTTTCGTTGTTTAGTGGTCAGGTTAAAGACAAATCTCGTAAATAGCCCTGGACAGGGTCCATGGAGAGTCCTAGTTTACAGCTATTATCCTGGCGTAATTAAAGCTCCCTTTTCCCAAAGTGTCCCAGACTGGACCATAAGTCATTGGATCATCCAGGCCATAGAGGGTGCAGAGAGTGGGGTCCTCACAAGCCATCTCTTCTAGAGGCCAAACGTGCCCGCACTCCTCGATGCAGCTCTCTGGGCCTGGCTCCTGAGCTCACATAGCACTAGTCCTGGAACTAAGGAGGTACTCTCCTTGTGCCCTTATTCTGACCAGGAAAGGGGATCTCCTGGCCGGATCACCCGCCTGATTTACCAAGCATGGTCCCAGGTGATGCGGTTGTTTCCTGGGCCAGCTATCTGTCCCCAGAGGTATGACTGTGCTCTGTGACGGTGCCTGAAAGTCACTGCAGACCTAGTGCCAGGGGACTCAGCCCAGATCAGTTCTGCAGAAATGAAGACCAGGAGGAAAGAGACAGCAGGCATGACAGCAAAAGCCAGTCCCATGCTTCTGGTCCTCCTGGATCGTATATACAAATATAATTGTCATCCCTGAAGAATAACATAATTCTGAAAAATCCAAAAAGGACCGCCTAATCTGAAATTATTGAAAAGTACATTAAAATTTTTGAAATATAAATACATAAATATATTCCTGCTATACAAACCCACCAAGATCCAGGGCAGCAAGAGCTATCATGAGGTCTTAGTACTTCCAGCAGGAACTATTTCCGTAAGCCAATTTCCCCCAAAGATTAACATTCCAAAAAAAGAGTTGGTTATGTGACACCTTACATACCAGCCTCATCAAAATACCTGAACATCGTCCTTTTACTTTCACACCCCACTGCTCTAACACCACTCTTTCTGCCAAGAATGTCCTTTCTCTTCCTTGCACAGCTGGAGTTCTTAGCATCCCTCAAGACCCACCTCCTCTGTGAAGTTTCTTGAAGTACTTTAGCAAAAATGATCTTTTTTTGTGCTCCTATAGATTTGGGTCCGTATCTCAGATACAGCATAAAACCTTGTACAATAAAAGTAAAGTGGCTACCGCTTATTGAGTGGTTATCCTGTATGAGATAGGATAGTGCTGTTTTACAGGCACTGACGATTTCATTTAATCCTCATAACTACCCTGTGAGACCTGGACTTTGACCCGCCAGCTTTAGAATGAGAAAGCCAAGGTTCTTGGGGTTAAGGAACTGGCCAGATTCTACAACTAGAATAGACAAGGATGGAATTGTGACCAACATTTCTGTGCCTGCAGAATTCTCGATCTTGAGCCCTTTTATAGTTCACAGTTCATTTTTAAAAATAAATTGGATACGGCTCCCACATTCAACTGAGTTTTTTTTAAAGGTAGGAATTGAGCCTTCTGTTCCCACTGCCTAGCGAGCAGTGTCTGCTGAATGAATAAATGAGTGAATAAGCTAGAAGGAAACAAATACATACCTCTAATAAGGGAATCATATCCTAAGGCAAATAAGAAACTCGAAACAGGCTCCCAGAACTCTTCTCATAAATCAACCCCTCATTGTGAATGAAGAGAAACAACACGAAAAATAATTTTTCGAAACAGTAAAGAGCACCTACATTATTTTTTACCTTCAGCATTACATTACATCTAGACTGTTTTCAGTACATTTTAAACTGTATTCTTTACAAGTGAATCAAATGTTCCACACAGAGATAGAGACAATATGCTTTCTATAGACTCAGTCTTCAGTGACTTTTCTCTGTAGTCATTAACTAACAAATTCACAGCAGTAGCTGATACATTATCTTGATACGATCCTGTACCTGTGACAGCAGTGTGTATGCTTATGTGATTTAACAGTGATTAAACGATCTTCCTGGCCGCTTGCTCATGCCAGGCACAATGGAACTCTAAAAGCCAAGTCTACCTTTACATGATTTCTTAATTTTCAAGTCTTCTGCATTCCATGACTGGGAATATCCTCAGGAATGTGTCCTCTTTAAACTCTTAGGTCTTACCTGTAAACTGAATTCACTCATCCTTACTAGACAGAATACATCTTACCTCAAGGAGACGCGTGACAGATCGCAGCTCAGAGATAGGCTTTTGGTTTGGTCACAATCCTCCCAGTCCTAACCTACCTCCTACTTTGCCCAGCTTTCTCAACAGACTCAGATATCCACATATGGAACAAATGGTCTCTTCCCGGGCACTGCTACATTGGGTCCCTGCAACTTCCCTGCTGAGCTGGCACTTGGTCTATAGGCTCGGTCCTCCTCGTTTCTGTTTCAATTGAATTTGTTGTGAGAACAAACTTCCCAGAGGGTACAACATTCAGAAACAGCATCTAAGCAAGGACTGCCTATAAGCGCATGGGTTCTCTCCCCATCACCGGCTCCCTGGCCTTCTGAGCATCTCACGGCAGGACCACCACCCTTCGGCAGGCTTTCCTGAAGCCTCAAACCTTGGCTCTGCAGGGCAAGGACTAAAGTCTCTAACTCAAGTTTCCTCTGGCCACTGAAGACCAGAGGTACAAAGGTACTTATGCATTTGGCAGTTCTGTTAAGCAGAACAGGGATAAAGGAAGCTAGAGATCCAGGCAATGGTAGAGCAAAACCATCCCCCAATAAGCCTCTAGGTTCATTCTCAGGTCAGTGGGAGTCTTCTACTCTGGAGAAAAGTGGAGATCTGAGGCAGCCTGGGTGCCCCTAAAAAGGGCCTTGCTGTGAGAAAGGGGCTTCAGTTCAGACAGCAGAGTCTTACCCTGCTCTGGCCCCACCATCCCCACTAACAGAAGGTTTTCTTCTTGAGCTCAGCGTACTACTAACCTGCTCAAGGCCCACAGAATAAGGTACTTTGGACTCTGAAATCTTCACTCTTACAACCTTAAGTCCTCATCATGTATAAACTGATGTCTGTTCACAGGTAAACCGTCTGTTACTCCTAACACGAAGAGTCAGACCTCTGCCCTGGGTGGTCCCATCTGTAATTACAACAGACAGAAAATTACTCAGTGGATCAACTCTCTGATGGAGGAAAGGCAGGACGAGAGACAGGGAAGCTGTCTGTGTTCATACCGATTACTGTGATGTTTTACAGGTGACAGGTGTGTAAGCACCAGGAAGGACACATGATATCCATGGCAGTGGCCTGATTGTCTATGATATTTAAACACAGAGAATGAAATACAGGGCACAGGGCCAAGGATGAAATCAGAGAGGAGAGAAAGGTCACCTTGGGACTACAGTAATGGGCACCTCACCAAACTGGCTGTCTGTACTCTGAACGGTGGGGGTCCCGCTTCCTCAGCATGCCCCCTCATCTGCTTTATCAGCACTGGCGCCTGGCCCTTCATCTCTCGAGTCGCGGGGCCACATCTCTTCGGTGGTCTCCTCTTGCTCACGGTAACTGTCTGCACCAAATCCAGCATTCTCTGCCAAGACAGCGGGATCCTCTTCTTCATGAAAACAGCAGGAACATGTTTCTGCCTCTGGGTCACATGAGGTAACAGAATTATCTTCCTGAGCTCTGGGGTCAGTAGGCATTTCCCACCCCAAATGGCCTGATCCTTCTTCTTCTATCACTCCCATTCTTTCAGCTATTTCCTCGGCAGAGGGCTCTTCTGGGTCACGGTAATCCACCAGGATTGTTTCTTGCCTACGCTTGATGCAATCTGAAAGGCCATAAATTGGATAGGTCTCTTCAGGGTAACCTAGAGAAAAAAGCAGTACAAAGTCTTACAAAGAATGTCTCTTCCAAATAAAGTGTCAGGCTCAAAAAGGCTTCTCAAGCAGCAGCCATCCTATCCCAACAAATCCATTCAAGAAATCTCTAAGAAGATTCTAACGGTTCTCAAGTTTCACTTGAGCAAATTCTTGGCGATCTGGCTGACTGTCGCCCAGCTCTTTGAAATACAAATCAATTCAGTTGAAAATCCCTTCTTAAGTGCAGGGTGCTTGGGGCAGAGTGTTAAGTCTCACTCCTCAAGCTTCTGCAGTAGAGATGAAGATTAAACAAAGGACATGAGCCTCAGTTTAAAAAAAATGTACCAAACACCAGATGGAGAGAGCATAGCTCAAGGCTAATGTTTATAATTTCTATTTGGAACCATTTCCAAATCTTCCCGGGGTGGGGGGCGGGGAGGAGGGAGGAGGAAAGGAATGCTGAGCTCTTTGAAAAATACACGACAAAGCCTTCTACTAATCAAAACAATTGAAATGGCTTGCAAGTGTCAGAAAGAGAGAGCATTTTAGCAATACATGTCCAAGATCCCGAAGGACAAGGACTGCATTTTCAGAAGGCAGAATTTCCATTGTTGGCTTCTTCCTCTTCACAAAAGGGAACAAAAGAAAACAACAAACTGGTAAACAAAATGAATCCCAGCAATGAGAAAAGAGAAAATGTTGCCAAATTGAAGAACAAAATGAAATACATCTGTGTCAGCCAAGCCGCGCCTGAGCAGCAGATGGGCCATGCTGGAGCTCATATGCCAGTGCTGGCAACAGCAGCCATGCTCAGCACACAATGGGAAAGCTGGAGGATTTGAAATCCATTTGCACATTATGATAATTGGCAAATTGAACCCTGACATAAACCATCTTTTTGCCTACAAATTCTGAAAAGCAGGGGTCTTTTTTGGTGCCATGTAGAGTGTGGAGAGACATTTTTACAACATTTATAATTAGGGGAAAAAAACAGTCACACAGACTCATTTGTAGAAAATTTGAAAAACACAGACAAGTTTTAAAAAGAAAACACAAATCACCTAGAATCCCACCACTGACAACAATGTGTTGTGTTACCTCTGGCCTTTTTATCACATATAAACATATATCCTTCTCTTTTTTTAACAAAGAGGGATCATACTGTATATAAAATGTTGTACCCAGATTTTTTTCATGCAACATTGTATCATGAGCCCTTCTCCATGTTATTAGGCATTTTAAAGTTGGTTGCAAAGTATCCCATCATACAGCTACGTAACTGACGTGATTTACCATGCCTCTTCTATAAGACATTTAGATTCTTTCCGATTTTCCATTATAAGTTTCATATTAGTTAAGATCCCTGATTATAAATCTATGTCCACTTCCCTGTTTCTTTAAGATAGACTTTTAGAAATATGAAAACTAGACCAAAGGGAATGGACATTTTAAAAGCCTTTTTTACACTCTGCCAAATTACTTTCCAGAAGAATGGTATAAATTTTTAGTCCTACCAGTGATGTAAAAAACTGTCCATCTTATCACATCCTCACCAGCACTAACAGTAGTATGTCAAGAATCTTGCCAAGGCAGTCTTAGTTCCCAGGCTCATAGGTAAACTGGAGCTTTGCTACCCAAGGCCCTCACAGTCTCCTTTCAAGGGCAGAGGCTGGGGAAGTCCATTTGCTAGTTAGCTCCTAGCCACTGCATGCCTAAGAGAAGTCCATCCTCTGGCATGTTCCTGCCTTGTCCCCATCAGGAACAAAGCCTGCCGTTGGAATTCCATGACTACCTGCTTTGGTTTACGAGGGGGAAGCCTGCTGAGGAGAATCAAATGGTGACTCACATAACTACTTAGGTAGCCCGTATCAGCCAAGGCACTGGGTACCCAAAACTTCATTAGAAACATGAGCAAGCAACAAAATCTCACTGGTCCTACGAGGAAATCAGCAGCTCACAACAGGAACCAAACTAAGCAAACTATGTAAATAGCCCCTGAAAAAAGTCAATGCAGGAAACAAGAGTTAATGTCAATCAGCTTATAATTGATGTTCCCGGTAATATTCAACAGGTTATTGAATGTATAAAACCAACCAGGCTTCAGTATAAAAAAGGGAGCAAACACAATGTAATAGAGAGCTGTTAGAAACTCATCATTACAAAAAAAATTTAAACTTAATAGAGGAAGAAAAGAGTAGGTTGAAATAAACATGACTGAGAACCAAATTAATATATTAGAAGTTCAAGGTGAGGAATTCTCCCAGGACAAAGATAAACATGGCAAAGAAACGGAAATCATGAGAAAAAAGATAAGCCACACAGAAGACCCATCCAAGATCGAATCTCAGAATTACTAGAATTCTACAATGAGAGGGCAGAACAGGTTAAATGGAAGCAATAAAATTACAAGAAAATATCCTTTAGTTGAAAAAATAACTCGTCTTCAGATGGATAAATGCTAGGTAAAAATACCTTGAAAAAGCCATACGGAGACATATGCTGATGAACCTGTACAAATTCAAATTTTTTGTGGGGGGAGGTACTTAAGGAAGTATTCTGACAGATACAAAAATTAATCAAAAATTTAAATTCAAGAAAGAAGATACTGTATACAAGTGGTAAAAAATGAAATCAATAAGAATTATCAATGTAAAATAATCATTGATAATGTGGTTAGAAATTTAATGCCATTGTTAAGAAATACTTAAAAGAGAAAAAGGCTGTAAAAGCTAACATCACTTGTAGCTAAAATTCTACCTAATTTCAACAAAACCTAAGCAGTAGGTAGAAAATAAATATGATAAAAACTTTACCTTATTTGGGAACAAGGTTATATAATGAAGATTTGCAATTTGCAAGAAAAAAAGGAATTCCAATTTTCATTTCATTGATTACCAGTGAGAATGGAATAATTTTTCTTCTGTTTTGTAGCCAGTTGCACTGTTTTCTTCTGTGCACTGCATATCTAGGCAGATATCAGTGTTTTCTAAATTAGTTGTAGAACTTTTTGTATATGAAAGATAACAGCTTCTTTGCTGATATCATATTTGTTACGAGTCTTTTTCCAGTTTAGTGCTGGCTTTGAAAACTTTATGACATTCTCTGATCTACAGAAAAGGTTTATGTGCACTATGTAAAACACTATCCTTTCCCTTATAATTTCTTGCATTGCTTTTCTAAACTAATTTTTAATTTTGTGTTAATTGTAGATTCACATCTGGTTATAAGAAATAATACAGAAATCCCATGTACCCTTTACCTAGTTTCTTCTAATGGTAACACCTTGCAAAACTATATGCTACAATATCACAACAAGGATATTAATACTGATACAGTCAATATACAGAGGTTTTCTATCACCACAAGGATCCCTTATGTCGCCCTTTTCTGGCCACACCCATTCCCTCCTGCTCCCACTCCCTCCTTAACCTCTGGCAACTACTAGTTTGTTCTCCATGTCTATCATTTTGCCATTTCAAGAATGTTATATAAATAGAAACACATTATATAACCTTTCGGAATTAGCTTTTTTTCATTCGGCATAGCCATCTGGAAATTCATGCAAGTTGCTGCATGTATCAACAGTCCACTCCTTTTTACTGCCGAGTAGTACTTCACAGTATGCACGTACCAACACAGTGTTCAACCTCACCTGCTGAAGGACGTTTGGGTTGTTTGCAGTTTGGGGCTATGACAAATAAAGCTGCTATAAATATTTACGTACAAGCTTTATCTGAACATAAAACTTTCCATTTCCCTTGGGATAACTGTCCAGAAGTACAACTGCAAGGCTGTGTAGTAGCTACATATTTACTTTTTTAGGAAACTGCCAAACTTTTTTCCAGTGTGGGTGTATTTTACATCCCCACCAGCAACATAAGAGTGAATCCAACTTCTTGCCAATTAAAATCCCATCAGGCTTTTTTTTTTTTTTTTTGTAGAAAGTGACACAGTGATTCTAAATTTATATGAAAATATGAAGTGCCTAGAATTACCAAAATAATTTTGGAAAAAAACATAGTTGAAGAACTTGGGCTACCTGACTTCAAGACAATATAAAGACACAGTGATAAAGACATTATGGCACTGGTGTTAAGTATAGACACATAGATCAGTGAAACAGAATAGTAAGTCCAGGGGATTCCCTGGTGGCGCAGTGGTTAAGAATACGCGTGCCAACGCAGGGGACACGGGTTCGATCCCTGGCCCGGGAAGATCCCACATGCTGTGGAGCAACTAAGCCCGTGTGCCACAACTGCTGAGCCTGCGCTCTAGAGCCTGTGAGCCACAACTGCTGAGCCCGTGTGCCACAACTACTGAAGCCCGCGCGCCTAGAGCCCATGCTCCGCAACAGGGGAAGCCACCGCAATGAGAAGCCCATGCACTGCAATGAAGAGTGGCTCCTCCTCGCCACAACTGGAGAAAGCCCGCGTGCAGCAACAAAGACCCAACGCAGCCAAAAATAAATAAATAAAATAAATAAATTTATATATAAAAAAATAGTAAGTCCAGAATACACCCACACATACATGGTCAAATGATTTTCCATTTTCCAAAAGGGGAAGGGTTGGTTGATTTCCAACCAACACACCAAGGTAATTAAATGTAACAAAATAAACTGGAACAATAGGATATCAATATGGAAAAATATTAACCTCAGTCCTGATACCTCACACCATATATAAATAACTAAAAATAGATCACACTCCTAAATGTAAGAGCCAAAACCATACAATTTATAGAAGAAAACAGAGGAGTTAGGCAAACTTTGAGTTAGGTAAAGATTTCTTAAATGCGCACAAAGAAAGTGAGTCATAAAAGAGAAAATGATAAACTGGACTTCATCAAAATGAAAAAAACTTCTGTTCTTTGAAAAGATGTCACTAAGAAAAAGGCAAGCCACAGATTAGGAGAAAATATTTGCAAAATTCATAACTGACAACTTATATCCAGACTATGGAAGGAACCCTTGCAACTAGAACACAACCAACTCAATAAAGAAAGTGGCAAACAATGTGAACAAACACTTCACCAAAGATATACAGATGGCAAATAAGTGTGTGAAAAAATGTTCAACATCATTAGTCATTGGGGAAATGCATACTAAAGTCACAAGCTATATACCATTTATACACTCACTTGAATAGCTAAAATTAAAAAGACTGACGATACCAAGTGTTACCAAAGATGTGGAGGACTGCAATTCTCATACATTTCCAGTGGGAAGGCAAAATGGCAGAGCCACTCTGGAAAGCAGATTGACAGTTTCTAACAAAGCTGAACATACCGTATAAAACGCCAAAACCTCATTCCTAGATATATACACAAATATATGTTCCAACAAAAACACGTACACAAAAGTTCATAGTAGATTGCTTCATAATAGTTCAAAGCTGGCACCCAAATGTTCCTGAACTGGTGAATGGAGAAACAAACTATATCCAAACAACAGAAGACTACTCAGCAATTAAAAGAGAGCGAGAACCACTAATACACTCAACACATGGAGCTCAAAAGCGTTATAAGTCAACAAAGCCAGAAACAAAAGAGCATGTGCAGTATGATCCATTCACATAGAAAAGGTAAAACTCCAGGGACAGAAAGCAGTTCAGCTGTTGCCAGAGCGGAAGGGGACTAGCAGCAAAGTGGGTGGGAACTTTCTGAGATGATGGAAATATCATGACTAAATCATCGCTATGGTATGATTATATAACTCTACACATTTGTCAAAACTTATCCAACTACACACTTAAGATTGGTGAACTGTATTGTATCTACATTATACCTCTGTAATAAAGCTGACTTTTAAAAATTTTGTAAGATCTCTTTTCTGGGCTGATGGTTAACAAAGAGATAAGAAGACACTGTTTACCTTCCCAGTCCTCCATGTAAGGGGCCTCCTCAGCTTCTTTCTCTGGAGTGGGTCTGTCAATGAATTTTCCTTCTTTCATGACCCTGGTGATTTCTCGGAGCTGATGCAGCAATCGTTTTTCTTGGTCAGAAGTCACGGCCTGTGCTCTGCTTAGAAACAGCAGACAATCCGGCCAGTTAGTGGTAAATACTCCTAGGCAAGGAACATAAACATCACTGTGATCTGTCTGGACTCCAGGAAGTTCAACAGCAACAGATAATTACTCTGGGAACTGATACTGGAACTGCATAGCTGGGAACTAGAGATGTCAGTTCAATGTTTTGATTTTATAAATGGGAAAACTAAGGCCCAGAATAGATCAAGTGACTGTCCAAGGTCCCAGAATGATTTAATGTCAATACTGGGACAAGACCCCAGATGTCTAAGCCTTCAGTTCAGTGTTCTTTCATTACACCTGACTGCCCTGATTCTCTAATCTCAAGCAATTTCACCATTACTTATATCATTCCACTTATAAACAAGCCACTTTTCTCTGAAGTAATGTCATCAAAAGAAAATGTGCTGGACCATTTGCCTCAACTAGGGAAAAATATGCTACTAGGCCAACCCTGGAATTACCAGCCTGAATCTGTTTGTGCAGAAATGAAGATATATCCTAAAATTTCAGAGCTGGATCATTCTGACAAATCACCTAAACCAGAGAAATTGGGGAAACTGAGGCCCATGGAGGGTAAACTATACATCATCACACTGTTAGTTAATGTCAGTTCTAAAAGTAAAGTCTCCTGACTTCTGACAGCATTCTGGTGCAATTCTTTTTTTTTTTTTTTTTTTTTTTTTTTGCGGTACGCGGGCCTCTAACTGCTGTGGCCTCTCCCGTTGCGGAGCACAGGCTCAGCGGCCATGGCTCACGGGCCCAGCCGCTCCGCGGCATGTGGGATCCTCCCGGACCGGGGCACGAACCCGTGTCCCCTGCATCGGCAGGCGGACTCTCAACCACTGCGCCACCAGGGAAGCCTCTGGTGCAATTCTTGACGCACAGTGCTCAAGCTGCACAGTTCAGAAAACCTGGGTGTGACCCCTAACTTAGCTGTGTGGCCCTGGGGAAATGTCTACACAAGTAAGATGAGGCTCAAGGATAATGGTGTGACTCTTTGAGAGGGAAGCGCTACATCGAACTGGCAGGCAAGCAAGGCCCTACTCAGAAGACTGAGAACTGTCTGCTTTGGGACCAGTTTTACCTAGTGGCAGGATTTAACAGAGGATACTTATGCTCCTCTTAAAAACCCAAAGCACCCGAAGTCACTATAACACTCATGAAGAAGAAATGATACACTCTGTACCAGCCTCATGGAGGTGCCACCAGTCTTCCTAATAGTCCAGCCCCGAGCCTACGTTTCTTTTTACATTTAACCTACATTACATTACCCTTAATGACTAATAGGGAAGAAGAAAAAACTGCTTCTCCCGCCAACATTAAGATGGCAACTAAGGAAAATGGAGATGCAACATTTCTACAGACCTCAGTGGGAGGAAAACAAAAGCCCCATGAGCTCCACTTTTTCTACAATAAATGGCCTCAAAGCCATGAACTGACGAAGCCTGTCTGTTCTACATGCAGCTCAACAGCTGCTTTACTCCTTCCCATCAGTACAGGAGTGCTGACTCACCCTAACTACTCATGTATTCTACAATCCCTAATTCTTACTGTTACAACAGCTCACTCTGTGGGAGGCTTCTGGGGCAGCTAGGTCACCCCTAGCTAAGAGAGCCTATGTGATTATCACAACATCCTGCACACGTTACTTCTCTGGACTGGACTTGGTACATTCTGATTTTTACTGAAGGAAACAGTCTTAACTTTGTTTCCTAACTCATGGAAAATCTGAACCTTTAAACAAAAGGGGGATGGTAGGCTAAAGAAGCAGAAACAGACAAGAGAAGCTTTCTTAGAGCATTCCAAACTAGAGTGTCTTCAGGGGTACTCAGTGTCCATATCATACATTAGGCAATTAATCGTGGTCCACCTTACATCTTCTGAATTTACTGCGATGAAGACTTTCATGAATTTCTCATTGTCTCAACTTGGTTTGATACTCCTGGAGGGCAGTGATAAGCTCACAACAGGCACAGTGTACAGGCACAGTGCCATGAACATTTTAAGTGCTCAATAAATGTGTTGGTTTGATTGGTCCCCATTTCTTCTACCTTCCTGAAATCTGGCTTCCACTCCATCATTTTACCAAAACTTGTGAAAATCAATGATCAGTGACCACTCTACTTTTTTTTTTTTTTTTTTGCTGTGCAGCAAGTGGGATCTTAGTTCACCAACCAGGGATCGAACCCATACCCCCTGCAGTGGAAGCACAGAGTCGTAACCATTGGCCTGCCCAGGGAATTCCCCAATGACCACTTTAAAGTCCAAAAGTCTTTTTTCTCACATTTCATTCTTCTTGACTTTTCTGTACTATGGACCATCCTCTCCTTGAAATGTCCTCCTCCCTTGGCATGTGTGTTCCTCCCACTTATCTAACCATTCCTTGTATCTTTGATCCTGGCTCACTTTCCTACTCCCACATCCTAAAACATGGTTTTCCTGAAGGCTCAATCCTAGGACTCTTGTTTCTCCACTCCTACAGGCATGCCCTCAGGAAGCTGACCCAATTACACAGATTAAACCATCACCTCTACACAGACGATGCCCAATCTCTACCTCTAATCTTGACTTTACACACAAAGGCCAGTCTCCTAACTCCAGTTACCTCCTGGGCATTTCTACTTGGAGGCCTTGTCACTATAATAAAGTTAAACTTAAATTCACGCTTCAAAACCACGTCCTAGTTGGCCCAGGATCGTAAGCAGCTGCGTGAACAGGTAAGCTAGGTGAGGTTGGCTATGGCCGATTCCAAGATGCTAGAAAAATAAAACGTCAAGTTGGGAGATAACTCAGACTTTTGAATGCTACTGCTGTAAATCCAGAGGAATCATCAAGTTCTGAGTCCAAGAGTTAAACACAGAGAGAAGAATGAAACAGTGTCTTCCAACACCATTCATGATGAGAGCGGAAACCAGACCAGCAAAAGAATGCTGGCGACTGCCACACAGTAATTATATGCCTCAAGGATTTGGGGATCTCATCTTTCCCGCATGGCCCTTACCTCTTACTCCCAGCCAAGTGACTTCCGAACTTGTGTCCTCTGTTCTGACCTCAATACCCAAATTTCCTATTGTTGTTGCTTATCATACATGGATGTTCTGATGGCACTTCAACCATATTCAAAGCTGAACTTATGATCCCTATTCCAAAGCCTTATCTTCATTCTTCTGTGTTTTTATTTTGGTTGATGCCATAATCTTCCTCTCAGTTTGGGCTATAAGTCTCCAAATCATCCATCTCCTCTCCTTCATTTCTCTTATCTAGTCAGTTTTCCTTTGGAAAACCAATCCCTCTTCTGCTCACAGTGCAGAGGCTGAAGCCATCCATCCCCTCACTTCTCCTTCTAGAGTGGCCACGTGGCCCATGGCCTATCATCACACTCCACCCCCTTGGCTGCAGTGACTGACTCAGTGATATATACAGTTGGGCCAACTATACTTTCTCCTAAAACTGGATCTTGAACACAGTGAAGCCTGAACTGAAAATTTTTCATGTTAATTCATCCCGGCAGCAGTCCTTGAAGAGACTGTCTATTCGCTCCTGCTCCTAAATCCCGACAGCTGCTCTGGTTCCCACTCTTCCTGAAACTTAGATCTTCAGCTATTCTTTTGATACTGTAAGCGACCCCATACTCTTCCAATAAATTCGGCCGCACCCCCCAAAAAACAAATTTTTGCTACCCAGAGTTGTCTGCCTGCAACCAAGGAATCCTGATACAGCCTGTGATTCTCTTTTCCTCCCTGAAGTCCCCTTAATCTGCCCCCCACCTCTTTTCTCCTCTCACTGGCCTATGTATCACTTTTGCTAGACCCTTTTCAATGTCCTAGCATACAGCCACCCTAGACTAGAACCTTTTCAATATCCTAGCATACAGCCACCCTAGACTAGAACCTTTTCAATGTCCTAGCATACAGCCACCCCAGACTAGAACCTTTTCAATGTCCTAGCATACAGCCACCCTAGACTAGAACCTTTTCAATGTCCTAGCATACAGCCACCCTAGACATGAGTTATTTTTCTAAAGCACAGCAGATTATGCCATTTCTTTTCAAAAGCCGCCAGAGGCCCTCCACTGTAAAGACAATAAATGCCAACTTCTCAGCCTACTGTCCAGGGCCTTCCAGTCTGCCCCCAGTTTACTTCTCTAGTTCTTTCTCCCATGAGTTACCTCCCTAACCATTTACCACAGCCCTGGTGTACCCTACTCCCGTTACTTCGAACTACTTGCTATTCCAAAAAACGTGCCTGACCTCTCACCTTGTTTGCTGCTTGTGCCACCCTCTCCCTCTGGAATATTCTTCCCCCAACTCTGCCAGAGGGAATCCTTCCATCCTGTAAGGCTTATTTAAATTCTCTCTTTTTCTTGAGACCTTCTGTGGTAGGCAGAATAATGTCTCCTCACCACCCCCCAAATATGTCCACATCCTAGTCCCTGGAACCTATAATGATGTTACCTTATACATAAGGGGACTTCAGGTTGCAAATGGAATAAAGGTTGCAAATCAGCTGGCCTTAAAACAGATTATCCTGGATTATCTGGGAGGACACAATGTATTTATGAGGGTCCTTAAAAGTAGAAGGGGGAGGCAGAAGAGGCCAAAGTAATAATGTAACGTACGAAAGTCTCAACCCACTGTTGCTGGCTTTGAAAGTGGAGGAAAGGGTCCATGAGCCAAGGAATTGTGGGCAGCTTCTAAAATCTGAAAAAGGCAAGGAAACAGATTTTACCCTGGAGCCTCCAGAAGGGAACGCAGTCTGGCAAACACCTTGATTTTAGCCCAGTGTAGGACTTCTAACATACAGACCTATAAGATAACAACGTGTATTGTTTTAAGACATCAAGTTCGGGATAATTTGTTATAGCAGCCACAGAAAACTAATACACGTTCCCAGAGCACACTTTTTCTCTCTGAGATGCAGTTCCTTAAAGAGAAAATAATTGCTACTGACAACCACAGAGGGCTGTGCAGAACGAATCAAAATAGGTACCAAAGATATTCTTATTATTGCTGAAAATGCCTGCTTTAAACTACTTTTTTTACATCTACCTCATTCATTCTTTCAACATGTACAGACACTGTCGATGTGCCAGCACTAGGTACGAAATTTGAGCAATGAGCCAGCTCTAGGAATGCAAGTTTGAACAATGAAAATTCCCTGTCCTCAATAAGGTTACAGGGCATTAGGGAAGACAGAAAAGTTAACAGAAGATAAGGAAGTAATACGATGCTTACATTATCCAGCAAACAGAGGTGGCCAAGGGAGGATATGGGAGGAACACCTAACCAAGTTGTGGGTTCAGGGAAAGACTCTCAGAGGAAAATGATGTCTAAGTTGAGACCTCTAAGACAAGCAAGAGTTAAAACAAGTGTGTGTGGGGAGGCGGTCGGGGGCAACATCCAAGCAAAGGAAAAAAGTATATGCAAAATCCTAGAAGCGAAAGTGCCCAGGTACTTCAGAGGAACAGCAAGCAGTGTAGCTGGACCACAGACAGAGAGAGAGAGAGTAACGGGGAAAGATAAAGCAATTGAGGCATGCAGAGCCACGTCACCTAGGACCATGTAAGTCATATTAAAGATTCTACTCTTTATCAAGAGCAACAGGGACCTACTGAAGGATTAAAACAAAAGACGTAATCCACTGGTTTGGAAAGCAGAAAGTGAATTGAAAGGAGGCAAATTAGAGGAAAAGAAACCACATGAGACAGTTCTGACCTACGTCAAAAATAAAGGCATACTCTACTCACTCACTTACTCATTCTTCCATTTCAATTAATACTTTTCTAAAGCCTACTACTGGCTTGCGCTAGGCTCTGGGAATAAGAAGGCTAATCCCTGCCCTAGTAGAGTTTAGAGTGTTTTACAGGGAGACAGACTTATTAATTAGGAAGAAATGACAGGACATGGTGATTAATGAGATATGGGAAGTGAAGGAAAAGGTGAATCAAAGATGACATCTAATTTCTGCTTTGGGCAACTAAGTAGATGGAGGAGCCATTTGCTGAGATGGGGAACGTTAAAGGTAGAATAGGTTCATCTGGGGGTAGATGATGAGCTCCACTTTGGATGTTCATTCACTCAGGGGACATTTACTGTTCGATGAGGATAAGAGTAGCCATCTATGAGACATGGCCAGTAGGACCCTGAATATAGAGGTCAGCAAATGAAGAGAAGGATCTCAACAGGGAATGGCCATGATTTACTCTTCTATCATGGTAATAAGTACAGATACTTGCATCAAAAGTGAGTATCTACTCTTTTCCAATGGTATTTACTTAGTACCTACTATGTGAACACAGTGAACAAAAGAGACTAAGCCTGTCCTCAGACTTTACACCCCCACAACACCTGCCAGAAATCTGTGGCCCCACATAATGCTCAACATGCCTGCCAAGGCGTTTGCTGCCAGAGGCTGTACCCTCATTTCTCCTCTTGGGCCATTCCATGCTTCTAGGTAAATAATTACAGTGGGACATGCTGCTCCAGGAAGGAACTTGCACTGATCACAAGGACAAAAATGAGGACACCTTGATTCGGATTCCTAGATCCTTTCCTTAGTCTTTGTGTCCTTGGGCTAGAGAATCTGCTTAATGTCAGACATAACATGGCACAATACCAACCTTCCAGGAGGCTTAATTATTTAAAAATGTGTGCAGACTTATATCGCTCACAGGTGAAAGCTGTCTGAAAAGTTTTGTTAGTATTAAAAATCTTTCTCATATCTTGATTCTTATATAAGCATTAAGATGAAGTATCAGAAAGAGCATATTTTGGGAATTTTAAGCAAAATCTTACAGTTATGGAGTGATATTATATAAAAGGACTTAGAAGGCTGCAAATGAACATGGCTTCTTTGTCTTAAATCCTCTCCTTGACCTCCAGAAGCCTGGCAATGTGATAAAATCTTATCTGACAGAAAAAATACTGGGGTATTTTGGGCTCTTCTAATAATCCTAGAAGCACAGACTTGTAAAAGAACAAATGCCACAGAAACTAAGGTTAAAGGCTTTAAGTATAAAAAGGAAAAGAATGTAAAACATGCAGCTACCTAGCCCTTGCAGTTTTGAAGGTGGAAGTCCCATAGGGCCTACCTGTAAGGATAAAAGGTTTTAGATTAAGGAGTTTCAGAGAGAAGGTCACCTCCTTATAGACTGGAAAATGAGACATCTGGGAAAGAGAGACACAAGCTATGCTCTCGTGAGGGGAAGGAGAGCTGCTCCTTGGTTCCTGAGAGGTACTGTGGAAAATATTTTACACAATCATTGCCATGTGGCAGTGGCCTCAGCATGTTCTCAAAGAGCCCATGCTCCAGCAACTTACTAGGAATATATAACCTGAGCTAGGACCCGCTGTCCCAGAAACAATGAGATGGCGCAGCTCCAGGGGCAGTGGCGGTAGTGGCACGCAACTCCTCTGCCTTCGCACATAAAACGTGGAGCAGCAACCCTAGCTGGCACAAGGAGGACAGACAGTAGTTAGGGGTCACAGTACTGCACCCCTGGCTTCGGCAATGGACAAATGGTATGCGTGGTGGGGTCATCTGGTTTGAGCTAAGGGAGTCTGAATAGCAGTGAAGAATAGTGAGAAAATATCTTCACATGGTTTCTTAGCCCAAAGCCCAGGGTTGGATCTCCCAGGTGGGAGGCCCTGCCCACAGATACTCACCTATAGTTTTCCTGACACTTAGGTGTGGCCTAGTGCTTCAAATAGACCAGGGCCAGGGTACAGATATTTTCTGAGGCACAAGGGTCTATAGAAGTCTGGTACTTCCCCACCCAGACTGTGAATGGTACAGGATAAGGGCAGAAAATGCCAGAAAAGTATAGCTGCACAAATTGGTTTAGTCACACTCATACAAAACAGTCAAACATTAGATAATGTATATAAAGCATTAGCTTGGAGCTTTGTTCTTAGTAAGTGCTCAATAATGCCAAATAGTATTATCCACTCACAGGGATATACTCATGTATAGATATGTACACCTATCTCTACCACTCTGGAGAAGTCCAGATAGTCACTCTGCTTTCTGGACCAAAAGAAGGTCAACGGTCATGGGCCCAGATAGGCAAGGTTCACCCTCATAAATGTCATTTCAGCAGCAATGTAGACTTTGCAGAGAAAAGCCAAGCCAAGGGACTTCAATTCGAGGATGTTTACTCTTCTCCTATCTGGCCAAAGATGGGCAAGGCAGGAGCCAGGAAGCAGGGGAAACAGTATGGGGCACTAGTAGCACAAGGATGGCAAACAGAAGAGGCTAAGGTAGAGCAGTTTTCTGGGGCAAAGACTCCACACTGAGCCCACGGGGCTATAGTAGGGACCTTTCAATACATCCTCCTGCATGGGATTTTGCCGCTCACCCCCAGTGCTTCCTCCATTACTTGTCAGAAGGCCTAGCGCGAACCGAATCCCTCTTTGTTCTCAATCTCACATTCTGGTTTCTCCTCCCTGGCCTTCCTACACCCACGTTTTCTTAGTTGATGCCCACTTCCATCAACCCCCTGAAGCCACCTTTTCAGATCCTCAGCCAGCCCTGTAGCAAGAGGAGTGTGTTTTCGCTGCAGAGCATCCTAAAGGGCTAGTTTGGCTCCTGACACCTACTTTACACGTCTAGTTCTGCTCTGGAATAGTCAACACAAAACAAACGTGTACTCTGATCATACTTGCTCTCTTCTCTCATTTTGCCTCAAACAGAAACCACAATATTTAATAATCTGGTTTTACTTAAAATTCTGCCTTTTTTTAGACAGCTAGGATATTGTCTTCCTTAAAACCCAGTTATTTTAGCCTGTAGTATCTGCTCACAAATTTACTCTCTCACAATAATGTTGCACAACATGGAACATATACTCTTGAAAATGAAACTGCTTGAAAGTGTGAAAATCGAAATGTTCAGTGAAAAATAATATGTAAGTGACAAATATGATAACAATGAAAGCAAGTGGGCCAGAAATCAAAGAAAAACAAAAATTTGAATTGACTCTCTAAATGGGAAACAGTCTGATCTCTGTTATGCGAAAACGTACCTCTCACCATTAGGCCCCACTCTGTTGATTAGTTTTTCCATGGCTTCCTCTGTCTCCTTCAGTTTTTCTTGTAGTTGAACAAGCTCAAAATTGGCTGAAAAATAAGCATCAATCTAAGAACCATCATGTACAACTCCCTAAGCCCTTTTCTGAAACATGGCTGGCTGTGATGCTCTACAATAATCCAGGCTGGTCCTGAGATTCAGCTAATCCAATCAGGACACAAAGGGTACTGAGGTCTAGACACCAAGATCTAAAGGATACACGTTTAGAAAGTGATGAATAAATCACTCTCTCACACACAGAAATATAGCAGGACCAGCCAAAGAAAATACCTAGGAGTAAAAAACATAGCCCTACACAGTCAGCCAAGAAGGAATGAAGATAACTCCTTTCTAATTCAAATGATACTTGAGGATAAAGTACCAAATCTGGTAAAGGACTTCAGAAAAGGTGTTAAGACCCTGAAATGAACAATATTTCACCTGTCCCTAGGATCTGAAAACTTATATGGAAGATAACAGTATAAAAGTTACTCTTCTTCAACAGAAGAAGTCTTGAACTAGGGCTGAGACCTTCCTGCCCAAGGTTTTCTACTTCAGTCATCTGGGGTGAGTGGTATAACCCTATCTCCCAGAAGCAGCTTTCTCAACAAGGATCAGACAGGACCACAACTACTGAAAGTAATGTTAAGACCCTAAAAGTAGAACATAAAAAATCAATCACTCAATCAGTACATGAAATGAACTTTAAGGTAACAGGAAAATAAAACGTTGCTCATTATGTACATAATCTAGTTATTCTGTTTCACACCGAGTATCATTGTACACAGACATATTGAGAGGGTCACTATAAAATGTAATATTTCAAAGGCTTTTTAGTACTTGTACAACAAATTCTTATGCATGCAATTAACATCTGTGCCACATAAATGCTTAGGTTATTTTTATTTTCTGTATGATTCAAAATTGAAGCACAAGAAGTTGATATAATTGCTACTACATTATCTTTCTGTTTTAAATGCATTATGTGACAGGATACAGAATTTGCTACTCTTTAGTTCACAAGTCTTTAAAAACAATTTCATGATGCATTTACAATCACTTTTGGTAAGACACTATTTCAATTAAGAATACAAAAATTCAAAAAAAAAAAATACAGCAGGGATCACAGTCATTTTGCTGATGTCTTTCTTTTAAAAAACTCCGATGAGGCTTCAGTATCCACAGGATAGTTTGGCCTTCGACAACACAGCTTATCCTGCCTACTCTTCATGCCTTCTTTCCCACAGCTGCCCTCTGTCAGACTGCGTCTTACTCAAGCACCCTATCAAATAGGCCCTCCTTCATACACAGCTAGGTGCGATTTCCCAGAAGGCTTTCGCCAAGTCCCTTCCTTCTAGGTAGTAAACTTTTCACAAGTTATTTTTCCCTGACATTCATCCTAGACTATAAATTCTCAGAGGGAAGAGCCATGCCATATATATTTCATTTTTCCAGAGAGCACAGAATATTCTAATTGGTCGGTAAATACTGGATGATCATGTTTTAAGAGTCAGAAGTGTTAAACTCTGTCCCTAGATCTAATAACTGACTTTGACAATGACTTGATCTCACTGCCTCAGTTTTCCTCTATGTGAAATAAAGAAATTTGCTACCAATATTCTGAAGTCTAGAAATGAGAAGTAACCCATTCCGAGTGTAAAATATTAATCTGCTAATATATAAAAAAGGGAACTGGTGGTTGTGTACTTTTTATAACTATCTTTCCCTCAAAAGCCCAACATCAATATGGAAACTTGAGAATTCCCAGAGCTAAGGTTAAAAATCGGCATCAGATTAATCTGGGACAACTTTTGAGAAATGCTTTTAAGACATATCCACAGATTGTCCCTCTGGCTGTATTACAGCTGTCTGACTCAGTGAAACTTATAAATATACAATGAAAGGGGCACTTACTAATTTTCCTGTGGGTGCTTCCAGGTGTGGCAGTAGAGCACTTCCGATCCTCTGCAGTACTTTTCCCCTTTGAGAGCTGAGAATTGAAGGAGGTACAGTACATCAACAGCAGCTCAGAACCTCAAAGTCATGGAACCCCTCATATTAAACGGAAAAAAAAAAAGGTTGGGAGAAAATCAAATCAAATAGCAACATTAGAGAAACATCTCAAAAAAAAAAAAAAAGCCAACAGACGGTTTCCAAGTAAAAAATTATCAAGGTCAAGGCACAAGAAAAAAATCTCTTCACAACCCATCTGCCTTGCCCATGCTCATCCAAGACTCAACCTGGGCTGCCTGCAGAATTCCTAGGCAAGAATGAAGTCACCTCTTACTCTAGCTAGGAGGGCAGCCTCCTGTTTCTACTTACAGGGCCCAGGCCCAGGCCCATGGCTGGCCAAAGCCTGCCTGGAGGTAGAACTTAACTGGGAGTCTACTTTTAAAAGGACCCAAATCGGGCTTCCCTGGTGGCACAGTGGTTGAGAGTCCGCCTGCTGATGCAGGGTGGTCTGGGAAGATCCCACGTGCCGCGGAGCAGCTAGGCCCATGAGCCATGGCCGCTGAGCCTGCGCTCTGCAACGGGAGAGGCCACAACAGTGAGAGGCCTGCGTACCGCAAAAAAATAAAATAAAATAAAAGGACCCAAATCATATCTCCCCAGAGCTGGGAAATATCAGGCTTAGTTTCAGGACGTGGCAGTTCTGTTTCAGGAGAATTACTACAACTGATGTTAAAAACAGCACCTCATGCTCCTGGGGGTAAAAGGAAGAAAAAGTGGTGTTGGTACAGTCATTATTTGGCCTCACAGTGGCAACCTCGAAATCATTATGCCAATCCTCATGATAAAGTTCTTCTTAGAACACCTTTATGCCTTTACAGTTTGCAAAGATGCCCAATCAAGAAAAATTGGGGCAGGGTCGGGGGAGGGTAGGCTTTGAACTTTATTGCTCAGTGGACTAGGAACTAGAAGATTCAGGTTCAAGTGTTGGTTCTGCATTTTTAGTTGTGAATTCTGGGGCAAATTGTTCAGGTTCTGAGTGAAGATTTTCTCATCTGTAAAACTGAGATACGTGACAGCTATCCTAGGTACCTCATAAAGAGGAGGCAAGATTTAAAGAGATGATAGATTTGAAAAAGGGTTATGAACCATAAAGGGTTTTAATGCTGACAATGATTTTTATTATGACGATACTGGATTTTCACTGATGTAATATGATCAGGATGACTCCACTTACCTTAAATAAAATGTATAGTATATACAAAAAAATCCCAAAACCGTAGATTGGAATAATCTGCCCCATCAGGCCTCTTCCACTACCTCCTCCTCCAGTGCCTCCACCTGGTCCTTTAGCCTTTGCAAAGGCCTCTGCAAGGTGAGACCTCTGGAAGCGAGCCCCAGAGGTCTGGCCATCTGAGGGTGCCTGGTGATGATGCATCATAGGTGGAAATCGACCCAACTTCCCTGAGAAAATAAATTAATCAGTCTTTATTACTTCTACTATTTAAAATATGGCTATTAGGAAAACACCTCACGCACTGAGATACATAACAGAAGTCAACCCAAACAAGTTTAAGAAAAAACGGGAACTTGATTATAAGGATATAGAGGCATCACAAGAGTATCACACATATAATAAATATGATGTGGCAATCTCTAGCTGTTCACCAAACCCATTTTCTCTTCCTTTTGGGTCCACAAGTGGATAACATTTTTCAGCTTCCAATACACTTAAATGTGGCCGTGTGACTGAGTTCCAGACAAAGCAATGTGAATGACAGGTGCTAGTTCAAGGCCTGGCCTATACAATGTCCCATGTATTGAACTCCATGTTCATTTCCTTTCTGCAGGCTGGATGCTAACACCTACGGAGACATTGGAAGTCATGTGTTGAAAATGGCAGAGCTTCCATCAACCCGAGTTCCTGAGTAACTGTGTGGCACAGAGCCGTCCGCTGCCACCACCTCACCAACTTAGAACCATCTGGACCTGTTTATGTGAGTGAGAAATAAACTTCTGTTGTGCTAGGGCCATTATACACTTTGGAGTTTATCTGTTAGAGTAGTTAGCCATCCCTAACTAATACACATAAGGAAATGCAATCTGATCTCAGAAGAGAACACAATCAGAAACTGGAAAGCCATCAGGATACCAGACAGCTACTCTCACATTCTACTTCAATCTTTCTCCCTCTCTGTGGGGCCAGAGGGCTTTTTTCTCTGCTCCTCTGTGCATATCTTCCTCATTCTCATTTCTCCGCCAGCATTTCTCTAGCTTCTCTGTGAACATAAAGGAAGATGTTCACCCCCAAACCCCTCAATCTGCATGTCCTTCAAGGGGCCAGCAGAGACTGGTCATAATTCCAAATTCCCTGCATACCTTCTCAGCTTGGGTAGGTATGCAGCACTTTTTAATCAGCTGTAGCTGAGCAGACAGGGTTCATGTAGTACAAACAGGGTCACAGGGGCTCAGTCCTGTGAGTGGAAGTGCAGGGCTTAGAGAAAGGAGCGTGCATCAGTTTTCTCACATTTTTTTCCTCCATCAGGGGCAGCCAAACATTAACAGCGTCAAGCCTCCTCCAAGTCACAGGTGAGAAAGAAAGGAAAGACTTCTCTTCAAAAGGCCATGTAAACAGGCTTGTGTGGATAATCCATTGACAGAAAACACTAAGGAGCAGAAAGACCTCCCGACTCAGGCTCTAAAAATACAAACTACACAGTAAAAACCGTTGGATTTGACTTCAATAAAATTATGGATTTCTGTTCAATAAAGAATACCATAACAGGGTTAAGATAGATGACAGGCAAGGAAAAGCTTCTGCAACGTCTAAAACTGACAACGGATTAAATCTCTAGCATAGACAAGGAATTCCTACAATTTGATATGAACATCAGAGGAAACCCAATAGAAAAATGGCCAAAAGATATGAGTAGGAAACTCACAGAAAGAGAAGTTCAAATGGTTAACAAGTACATAAAGAGATGATCAAAATAAAACCAACAAGAAAAATGCTAATTAAAACAATGAGCTAGCACTTATACCTACAAGAAGGGCAAAAATTAGAATGGTGGGTAATAGTAGGTACCGTCAAAGATGTGGGGAAGCAAGAACTCTCATGCATTATGGGTAAGAGTGTAAACGGATACAGCTATTCTGCTAAGTGATCTGGCTGCACTGAGTGACATTAAAGCTACGCCCTATTATCTAGTGATCTTATACTGGTGGATAAATTCCAGAGAAATTCTCAAATAAGGCTGTCTGTATCCGAATTCAAACTATAGACTCTATAGACCTGTGTGAGAATGTTCACTGTGATGATGTTGTAGCAGGGAGCCTGAAGTAACTTTGATCTCTGTAACTGTTAGAATGTAGAATCAAAATGGAGTAGATACAAATATGAAATTCCACGTAGCTTTTAGAAAACACTTCAGATATACCTACAGCAATATGAACATATCTTAAAAAGCACAGCGTTGAGAAAAATAAGCAAATACCACATGTAAGCTAAAGACACACTATAATTATACTACATATCTTTCAAGCAAATATGTAGGTATAAGGACATAAAACAAACACATTAGAGTGGGTGCACATGAACGGAGAAAGGAATGGGCATGTGGAGTGAAGGTAAAGGGTTAAAAAGAAAGTAACGAAATAATAAAGCAACCTTGCACTGGTGATGTTAATCAGGGGCTATGAACTGAGGACTATCTTCAAGTCAACTCTCTGCTCCTGAGGTGAGAGAGATGGTGGGTGGGCAGGCAAGGAGTGAGACAGGCAGCCACTGGGCCTGGGGGCTGCCCTCTGCCTGTATCCTCTCTCGGCCGGGCTCCACCCCAACAATCCTTTTTTCCCTCTTGATGCTGACTTCGGGTGACACGGAAGTTAGAAGAAATGCTTCTTTTTAAGAGGAGGCCAGCAAAAGAAGCACAACTTCAGACGGTAGAAGCAAGCAAGCAGGTCACTACTCCTTATTCCGGGTACTGGTCACTATTTTGCTACTAAACTGTCAAGGACCTTAATATCTTAAATGGTCCTAGCTTTACGGCTATAATGCACTTTGAACAAATGCCTAGCCAGCATCTAAGAAGCTAACCTCTCCCTTGAGTGAATCTGATATATCGGGTGGTTACTGCTCAATAAACTAGATTTAATATCTGTAGTAATACGTTGTTGAACTTCATTTAACTGAGAACTGAGAAGACTGTTCTCAAAACTTGGCATAAAATAAAATATAAAAAATTAAAACCAAATAATGGCACAAAAGGCATTATTTTGCATTTCTAAAATTGAAAAATGATGCTAAACATCACACGTCTGCCCCCAAAACTTTTATAGATCTGTCAGCCAAGAAGATCTATTGGACCACTATTATGTTCAGGACTCTGTGCTGTAGGTAGGAAAGTAAGAGAACCATAAATGAAACGGAAACAATGGTTCCCACATGAAACAATGCTTTTAAAAAGTAGTATATCCAAAACAAACAGCAAAAAAGGAACAGGGTACTATGGATCTTATTACTAGACAAACTAAATGTCTAAGTATTGAAAGAATGCAAAAAAAAAAAAAAGGGAGAGGAATCAGATGGGATCAATCATTGAAGGGAGTGAGATTCAGAATAGAAGAGAAGCAAAGGCACACTAGGAGAAAAGAAGACTGTGTGCAATGAGAAAAAGATGAGAACAAAGAAATAAGAACAAAGAATAAATAAGGTTAACTACCAAATCCAATAAGGGAAGTAACAAGAGATAAGGAGAGGAAATTAGCGGTGGGTTAAATGTTAACTTGTGTCATATAAATTTAATAGTGTGGATCTAGGATCAGGGAAATGATTTAATCAGAAGGGTGTCTGAGGAGGATTATTCCAGCAGTTGAGTAAGGACCTAAAAGAGAGAAACTAGGGTCTGGGAAATCAGCCAGAAGACAGCTATAGCTATAGAAAGGAAAGGATGGGTCCAAGGGCTTTTACCATGTAATGATCAGCAACATTTAATAATGAATGGGGAGTGGGGGGTTGGAAAACTCGAAGGTTGGTTTAAGATACTAAGAGAAGACAATGAGGAAAACTGGGAGGGCTTATGGTTAGGGGAAGACTGAACACCTATTTTTCACATGTTAAATTCTAGGCGTTGTTGGCATATTCAGAGGAAATTTTTATTAGACTGTAGTTAGGCTTGAGAAGAAACTCTGAGCTACCTAAATGACAAAGCTAATTAAAATTGCATGAACAGTTCCCATACCAAAAAAAATGGAGGGGTATGTGTACTTATGTGCAAAAATAGGAAGAAAAGAAAACTGTGCTGGTCAAAGAAGACCAGAAGCAAACCAGTATCATAAAAGTCAAAGGAGGATAGACTTTAAAGCAACTGAGAAATCTAGAACAAACTGATAAAAGACTAATGGCTATCCCTGTTTTTAGACACAATGTATTCTTGGGAAAAGGATGGCCATCATATGTAATCTTGACTGTCCACCTATTTGGACAATAACAGAAACCAATATACTACAAAGCATCATAGAATCTTCAGAGTCAGAAGGAGCCTTAAAAGTCATCCAGCCTCTCAACAAATGCTATGGGGACAAGACATTCACGTGCAAAAGAATGAAGACAGACCCCTACCTCACACCATATTAAATTTCTAAAAACTAACTGAAAATAGATTGGAGACCTAAATATAAGAGCCAAAACCATAAAAGTCTTAGAAAAATGATAAACATAAATCCTACGAAAAAAAACCAAACACATAAATCCTTGTGACCTTAGATTAGGCACTGTTTTCTTAGATATGACACCAAAAGCACAAGCAACCAAAGGAAAAATAAGTGGACTTCATCAAATTTTAAAACTTTTGTGCTGCAAAGACACCATCAAGAAAGTGAAGACAACCCACTGAATGAAAGAAAATATCATATATCTGATAAAGGTTGAGTATCCAAAATATATAAAGAACTCTTACCACTCAACAAAAAGACAATCCAATTAAAAATGACCAAAATATCTTAATAGACATTTTTCCAAAGAAGATATATAATGGCCAACATGCACATGAAAAGATGTTCAACATCACTAGCAATCAAAGAAATGTAAATTAAACCCACAATGAGATAGAACTTTACACCCATAGGATGCTATAATCAAAAAGACATAATCGATGGGCCATCCCTGGTGGCGCAGTGGTTAAGAATCCACCTGCCAATGCAGGGGACACGAGTTCAAGCCCTTGGCCGGGAAGATCCCACATGCCGCAGAGCAACTACGCCCATGAGCCACAACTACTGAGCCCGCGTGCCACAACTACTGAAGCCCAAGTGCCTAGAGACCATGCTCCGCAACAAGAGAAGTCACCAAAAAGAGAAGCCCGCGCACTGCAACAAAGAGTAGCCCCCCCCTTGCCACAACTAGAGAAAGCCCGTGTGCAGCAATGAAGACCCAACACAGCCAAAAAATAAATTAATTAAAAAAA